CTGCAAGCTCTGCCCCCTGGGTTCATGCCATTCTCCTGCCTCAGCCTCCCGAGTAGCTGGGACTACAGGCGCCTGCCACCATGCCCGGCTAATTTTTGTATTTTTAGTAGAGACGGGGTTTCACCTTGTTAGCCAGGATGGTCTCCATCTCCTGACGTTGTGATCCGCCCGTCTCAGCCTCCCAAAGTGCTGGGATTACAGGTGTGAGCCACCATGCCCGAGGGTCTTTAATGTGCAAAATGGTTCCACATCACTACCCAAGTTAGTGTTTGAATAACTTGAAGGTTTGACATGGAAACAGCAGCCATGGCTGATGAAGTGCCACAGGCCCGTAACCGCAGCTACTGGGAAGCCGAGGCAGGAGATGGCTTGAGCCCAGGAGTTAAAGTGCAGTCTGGGCAACATAGTGAGGCCTCATCTCAAAAAAATGAAAAAAGCCATAGTGTAGCTATGTTAGCTGTTCAGGGGACACTAGCATGTGTGTGGCAAAAGTCAATCGTTAATGTCAACAGCTCCGTGTGGCTAGTGGTTGTTTGGGGGACAGCAGAACTTTTGGGGGTTAGCCAATGTGAAAAGGCCGAATGCCCAGCCAGTGCCAGCAGGAATGAGGGATGTGGGGGGACAAAGACTTTTCCTGCCTCCAGGTACCCTCCAGGGCTGGCCCTCATTGTCCAGGGATCTTTCTGCAGTCCTCTGGCCACCTGCAGGGGCCTGGGGCCCTGTGACCTCAGCATCCAGCTTAGCTAGGGTCTGTCCCGCACCTGACTTGTTCAGGTCAGGGAGAGCCTGCACGCCCTTTCCCCTGGCCCCCGCCGTGCTTGCCTTTGAGGGTAATGCTCGTCTTTAAGAGACGCCTTCCTTCATCTCTCCTCCCCCACACCACGGGCCATTTATTACCTGTTCAGTCTTCCTCACTAGGCTGCGACCCCTGAGCCGGGACTGGGTCAGATTCTTTGCCAAGCCAGCTCGCAGCACAGGGCCCAGTCCTGAAGGGGGCGCAGGGGACCTTTGCAGAACACAGGAGGGACCAGTGAGAGCCATCATGGTCTAGAACCCCCTGCTGGAGAGCAAGTGGGGCAGGAGTGGGAGCCAAGGATGGAGAGACAGATGATGGCTCTGTGACAGCTGTGGGCAGGGGCCCCAAAGCAGGAAGAGGGTGGGGCGAGTGGCCTTGGCCAGCCAGGCCTCTGAGGCTGGACATTCATGTGGGCAGCACCTGGTGGGCCCTGCCTACCGATGGATGGAATACTGCCTCAGCCCCCAGCATACTCACTAACCAGAGCCGAGGTAGCAGTAACCACACCCGGGGCTTGGGAGGTGCTGCGCACCCTGTACTAGATTGTCATGTGACTGACTGTCCTCCTGACTGGGAATCGGGCAGTGGAAGGAGCACTGAGTTGGGAGTCAACTTGCCTGAGGTGCAAGCCCCAGCTCTTCCACAGCTTTGCCAAGACTTGGGCACTCAGCCCAGGTCGGCAGACTTACATGAAATGAGGATGGCCCCACCAGGCTTAAATTTGGGGGGATTAAATTGAGCTAGTGAAGTATGTGGCCTGCTGCCAGTCCTTTGACGGCAGCGTCCTCCTGAGTGGCTCTGGATGGCCCTCCCGAGCCCCGTTAGCTGCTGCTATCAGACCCGGGTTCTTGGAGTCACCCTGCCATCTGTCTCCCAGGGCAAGAAGTACAAGCCCCTGGACCTGCGGCCTAAGAAGACACGCGCCATGCGCCGCCGGCTCAACAAGCACGAGGAGAACCTGAAGACCAAGAAGCAGCAGCGGAAGGAGCGGAAGTACCCACTGCGGTAGTGCGCGGTCAAGGCCTGAGTTGTCAATAAAGCACAGCTGGCTGAGAAAAAAAAAAAAAAAAAATTGTTCCTCCTCCTCTCTCCACCTCACCCCAGGTACAAGAGATGAATCCTGTTCCCTCATAAGCCAGCTGATTCCATGACACAGCAGTTCATGCAGTCCCCGAAATTTATCCCAACCGCTTTCCTCATGCTCAGCTTCCAGGCTGCTCATTTCCTTGGCTTATTCACCCTGCGTCAGTTTCCAGCGTGGCCCAGTCTCCAGGATCAACACAGTCAGTTTGGGATTCTCTATTCAAGCTCTGATCTTTATTTCATATTTGCCCTGTAGCGTCAGGCACTCAACACTTGGGTCAGGGGCACCCCACAATCTGAGCCCATTTCCGAGGGAGAGTGGAACAGAACATGAGTTTAAGGTCAGGTGGCTCTGGGTTCCGACCCTGAGTCCTTGAGTCACTAGGTTTTGCCATCTTGGTCAATTTACCTGACCTCAGCTTTCCTGTTTGTGAGATACAAAGAGAAATATTATACTGCAGTCTTGTTGTGAGCAGTGACTCTCAAAGTCTGGTCTTTGGCACATCAATCCTATGAGATGGAAAGGGGTTTTATTGTCAAGTGAGTTTGGCAAATGCTCAATATCATATCCTCGTCTTGGGAATTCTCAAATAACAAAAGAATGGGTTCCACTTTCATTAACTCAGTTTTTTCCAAGCACCAGAATTGTTTTTGCAAGGAATACCTGTTAGCATCCTGCAGAACCAATGTTCTGTATAACCCACCGTGGGGAAAGCTGCTTGGGAAGATTAGAAATGCTCAACACCAGGCCCTCTGCTTGGCTCCTGGCACATGCATCCTGGACACCAGGAAGCGTGAGCCCCTGTTGCATTTCTTCCTAATGTCAGGGATGTTTAGTCAAACCTTTCCTACCTCTGCTACAAAAAAGCATTTTAGGCTGTTGAGACAAGTAGTTTTCCCAAATATTTTTGTTGAGCCCTTTTCATGAAAGAGAAATAACACAAACTGAAGTTAATGACATCTGTACTTTGGAGCCTCGCTCTGTCGCCCAGGCTGGAGTGCAGTGGCATGATCTCGGCTCACTGAAAGCACTGCCTCCCGGGTTCAAGTGATTCTCCTGCCTCAGCCTCCCAAGTAGCTGAGACTGCAGGCACCCACCACCATGCCCAGCTAACATTTATATTTTCTTAGCAGATATGGGTTTTTACCATTGTTGGCCAGGCTGGTCTTGAACCCCTTACCTCAAGTGATCCACCTGCCTCAGCCTCCCAAAGTGCTGGGATTACAGTCATGAGCCACCATGCCCAGCCCACATCTGTGCATTTAAAGCTAAAATATGAGCACTCATAAGCCTCGCTCTGTAGAACAGTCACTCTTGGATTTCTGGGAAGTGATTACTCAGACCTGCACCAATAGGAATTGGTGAAGTTGGGTAACTTGCCCAAAGTAGCAGAGTCTGAGCTCTTTCTAGTGACACCACCACCCTACACACACAAATTAGGGTATGTCCTATCATGTAGGTTCAGGGGATCTGAATACATTCATATCTCATCCTCCTAAAAAAAAGTCTAGGCCGGGCGTGGTAGCTCATACCTGTAATCCCAGCACTTTGGGAGGCCAAGGGGGGGCGGATCACGAGGTCAGGAGATCGAGACAATCCAGGCTAACACCGTGAAACCCCGTCTCTACTAAAAGTACAAAAAATTAGCCGGGCACAGTGGCAGGCACCTGTAGTCCCATATACATAGGCAGGAGAATGGTGTGAACCCGGGCGGCGGAGTTTGCAGTGAGCCGAGATTGCGCCACTGCAGTCCATCCTGGGCGACAGAGCAAGACTCCGTCTCAAAAAAAAAAAAAAAAAAAAAAAAGGTATAGCAATATGTATCCCAAAAGCCTTAAAAATCTTCCCATTTGGGAATGCCACTTCTGAAATGACTGCAAGGAAACCATCTAAAATAAAGACAAAGAGATGTGCATAAAGATATTCAGGCCAGGTGCCATGGCTCACACCTGTAATTCTGGTGCTTTGGGAGGACGAGACAAGAAGATTGCTTGAGTCCAGGAGTTCGAGGCCGCAGTGAGCTAGGATCACATCACTGCACTCCAGCCCAGGCAACAGAGTGAGACCCTGTCTGTTAAACAAACAAACAAAAATATATTCATCACAGCATGATAATAGGCAGAACCAGAAACAACCCAACATTTGGAGAATAGTCAAATGTCCAACAGCTAGGGAATGATTACATCCATTATGAGACCTCTCTACATTAAATATCTTACAGCCATTTAGACTGATGTTTATTAAGAATTTTGAATGATACGGAACATGCTTACACTATAAGGTTAAGGAAATAAAACAGGCTACAAAAATAAAATGTATACACTATAATAACAGCTATGTTGGTGCACTCGTAGTAAATTTACTAATATATTAGGAGTGGTTATTTCTGAGTGGAGAGATGATGAGTGATTTTTCATTCTATTCTATATAATTTTATATATTTTCTCTCTTTATTCTACATGTTTTTCTGTATTTCCAAGTTTTATACAACAGTGATCAAGAAAAGGTAATTATTTATTTAAAAAGAAAAAAAGACCCATGAGTTATTGGAACCAGTAGATCTAAATGGCATTACAAACACGACTGTGTTCAGAGGTATCTCCCCTATCTAAGCAGTGCCAGGTTAGGGAACGCCGCCCATCAGCGTTTCCCCAAACTCCAGGAACCATCTGTCCCATAGTGTCATATCTGTGTAGAACCTACACCATTTTTCATAGAAATCAACTCAGTTTTTTTAATTTGAATATTAACTCTATACTGGTAAACCTTCTGAGCTTGAGACCTGTTTTTGCTCTGTTTAATAAAAGCAGGGGCCAAGGGACAGTGTTTTCAGGGAGGAAGGACATATTTACAAGGGTTTGGGAGTAAGCCTACCCTAGCAACAGACCCCTCAAAGGAATCGGAAAGATCGAAAGACAATGAAAAAGATTTTCTCACTAGAGATTTTGATTTATTTTTGACAATTTGCCCACCTACCACCCAAACTGCCTAGGATAGGACACCTGGGGAGAGTGCTGTTCAGTGTTCCCAGCACCAGTGAGTCTCCCAGAGTCTGCCAGTCACTTACCCAGCTGGTTTCAAACTCAAGGACAGGTGTTTGGACCATCAGTGCCTTTCCACTCCTCTTACAATTCCTGTCCTTGTTCAAGACCGTGGTATTTGCATGCAGTATTTTTAATGTCTTCATCATTTATTGCAAATCATGCTTCAGGGTTTGTAAAACCATAAACTTGCCAATGTTGTGCAAGTCCTGAGTCTGAAACAGGCCAGGCAAGTCAAAGAGGGCAAAAAGATGCCACCTGTGCAGGGAAACGGTAGAAGCCAGATTAGAGCTTAGTGAACTTAAATGTCACTCATTACACAGAGGAGGACGCTGAGGCCTGAAAGGAGGAAGGGAACTGATGAACAGTGACAGAGCTGGGTTAGAATCCAGGTCCCCAACTGCCAGTCCAACGTCATCTTTCCACTACATTCCATCTGAAATTTGCTCAGAACGAAAGATGACTGGTCGCTTTTAGTGTGAGAGGTTCGCCTGCTTTGGAATCCCTTTCTAAATGCAGGATCAGAAACAATTAATAACATCAGAGGCCAGGCTGGGCACAATGGCTCACACCTGTAATCCCAGCACTTTGGGAGGCCAAGGAGGGAGGATCACTTGAGCCCAGGAGTTCAAGACCAGCCTGGGCAATGTGATGAAAACCCATCTCTACAAAATACACGAAAATTAGTCAGGAGTGGTGGCACGCACCTGTGGTCCCAGCTACTCAGGAGGCTGAGGTGGGAGGATCACCTGAGCCCAGGAGGTCAAGGCTGCAGTGAGCCATATTTCTGCTACTGCACTCTAGCCTGGATGACAGAGAGAGAGAGACCCTGTCTCAAAAACATAAAATAAAATTCACTTTTCAATCCCATAATTATTCATCTCCATCACTTCCTTCCATATCCTCAACTCTCTCTTCCTTCATTTCATGTTGCTTTTCCAAAACCACAGCCCTGGTTAAATCCAACTCTCTTGCTTCCTTAGCACCTGACCCTGTGTAGCTGAACCAAATTTGTGAAGAAAGCACAACCATACCAGTTGCTCTTGCATTTACATTCACCTTTAATGATGCCAGGGAGTCATACTACACATTCCCAGTCGATAGATATTGGCACATCCCACTCAATATTTGTTGAACGAATGAGTTGAATGCATGGATTTTAGTTAGGGTCCCATTCATGCTACAGTTCTGCTTGTCCAACTTTTAACATTTCACAAAATGAATTTTGCAGCCAGGTTCAGGCTGAAATGGTAATATTGTCATCTTTGTTTGGAAGCTGTCTTAATCGTGTTTGCCTGGGCTGGTTCAACCTATAGGCAAAGGAGGCTCTTACTGGATTTAAGTTGTTGTTGGAGCCAGGGCTTGACCTGAGAACCTCAGGACTTTTCTTCCTCCAGAAAGAGCCTTTTGAAACAAGTCTAGGGGTCGGTCCAAAGCTCAGGAGCTGCAACTCAAATGCCTTTTTATAGTATTACTTGCATAAGTAAATAGTTGGCTTCCTCTTGCGAGAAAAGATGTGTTTGTTCTCAAGGCTGTCTCCTGGCACCCACTAGGGATGCTGGAAAACACACTTCTGCCCTCCTGATGTTGTTTTGAAATAGCTGGCACAGTTTGGATTCTTCGACCACAAACACAATTGTACGCTGCCGCTGAAATATAAGCCACACTGCTTCCTCGGCTCCGTTTTGAAGCCCATCTGTCCCCTACCTCATCATAAAGCTTACTAAGAACCTGGCCTCCTTTCCACTCACCGTAGGTGCCCATGCCGACGATACGCATTGTTTGGTTTTCATTGATGTCAGCAGTGCTAATGATTAAGTGAAACACTCCACTCCATTCAAACGTCTTGCTTTCACCTGCTGATCCCATTGTGAAGAAAGGTGTGGGGTGCCTTCCAATATTTCTCCCAGAACTGGCCACTACAGTGCAAGTGAGGTGAAACAGTGG